CGGTAATAATACTGTGAAGCACCTTGCTTAGGGCTCAGGGCAGAGTATACATACAGTACTAATACTGTGAAGCGCCTCAGAGCTCAGGGCAGAGTACAGTATAATACTGTGAAGCACCTCAGTTAGAGCTCAGGGTAGAGCACAGTAATAATACCGTGAAGCGCCTCGGTTAGCGCTCAGGGCAGAGTACAGTAATAATACCGTGAAGCGCCTCGGTTAGCGCTCAGGGCAGAGTACAGTAATAATACCGTGAAGCACCTCAGTTAGCGCTCAGGGCAGAGTACAGTAATAATACTGTGAAGCGCCTCAGCGCTCAGGTTTGATCTGATCTCTTTTAAACATCTTTGTTGATCACAGGAGAAAGTAGAGCGGAGAGGACTATACTTGTTTAAGCACCATTAGATTTTCTTTGAAACAGAGGCTTAGGTTATTAAAATAGTAGTCATTGTAAGTGATCATTATAAACTTCTTAAATGTTGGTGCATGCTGCCTATTCTCATGGAATTATAAGGCATTCATTGTGTGTCTTGGTTCTAACCTATATTAAAACACTAACCCACTGCCGTCGAGTTGATTCAGACTCATAGTGACCCTACTGGACAGAGCAGAACTGCCCCATAGAGTTTCCAAGGAGCGGCTGGTGGATTTGAACTGCCGACCTTTTGGTTAGCAGCCGAGCTCTTAACCACTGCGCCACCAGGACTCCAGTCTTACCTGTATACAGAGTCCTAAAAGTTCAAATCTTCATAAAGACACCTCCCTATCCCGAGGTCCTTAGTTTTCCATTTTTTGCCAGCTAATGTTAGTGCCCTGGTGGCGCAGTGGTTAAGCATTCAGCTGCTAACCGAGGGGTTTGAACCCCTGAGCCACTCAGCAGGAGAAAGATGAAGCAGTCTGCTTCTGTAAAGATTCCAGCCTTGGAAACCCTGTGAGGCAGTTCTGCTCTGTCCTGTAAGGTCGCTATGAGTCGAAATCGACTCCATGGCAACGGGTTTTAATGTTAATGTACTCTTAGTAGATGATCTTGTGAACTAGTTTTTGTTTCTCAGATATGGATTTACTTAGTGAACTATAATTTGAATATTGAGCCTTCCCTTTTTTGCCCAATAACCAAAACCTGAATATTATCATGAATGCTAGAGACATCAGTTAATCAAATTTAGTATTATTCCCACAGATAACTAAAGCTTGTCACTTATGCTCTTGAAATTTTACCTGTCTTTTCTCTGTATTTCTGAACTGATTTCTTGCTTTTCTCTCTCTCTTGATGTTTTTTCCATGGATTCAAAAGGAAAAGGTATAGTAATTTTGGTTTGTATGAGTGACCTTTTTTTTTTTTTTTAACTTTTTAATGTTGAAAGAGAATGCTGTCAATTATAGTTGATACCCTCTTATGAAATGCTTGTTGAAAAAAATTAGCAAATTAAATTGGTTAAAGCAGGGAATTGTTAAAAAGTTATAAATATATGCATACTGCCAATGTTTTGTTTTAACAGAAAATGTGTTCTTTTTTTATTTCTAATTTTTTGATGATGTTTTTGGAAGTCAGGACCCTTTCCTTGAGTCTGTATCTGCCAGTTGGAGGTCTGCATCATGTCTTTCTGGCATAAACCACATCAATACTGGGTCATGGAAAATTTGCGATTGTTATTTTTAAAAATGAGGTGAAAGCTTAGGCACCTGTAAAACGAGCAGCGACTGCACAGTTCTTCTCGATGTTAACAAGACTTTCCTTCAGCTTTCAGAGCTGTCTCGTCCTCGTCTTATTTCATGAGTTCTTAAAAGAAGTCATCTCTGTCGGATTTTCCTGGAGCATCCATTTCATTGTCCTGGAAACAATAGCTCTTTCTTTCTTCCTCTGTTTTATCCAAATACATATTGTTTAACTAGGTTTTTCAAGTCCGTTAATGTAGCATGGCACGAACAGGTTTGGGAATGAACACAGCTGACTCTTAGTCAGCATCAGTGTTCTAGAAAACCAGCAGTTGGCCACGTGCAGTCACTGGGTCCCGGGCTTCAGTCAGCAGGTTTTACAGAGGGAACGAGGACTTTGTCTAATTTTGTGAGTTAGTTAGGTGAAGAAGGGTGAATACGGGCAGATAAAAGTAGAGTTCTACACACACAATTGAATGTGATTCCTTCTAGGATGTAGACATTTCCTTCTTTGACAGTCTTTGGGAACTAGTTCAACCAAATCAGGGGTGAAGAAATAGAGGATTGGGTTAATTTTGGTTTCTGGAAAGAACTAGCAGAAATTCATAAAGTATGTTCACATTTAAACTTTACAGCTATTAGAGACTTTTCATATTATTTGTGACTTGACTTTGCTATTCAGCACATGACTCTAAGCCCAGAATATGCTGAGGAGCTGTAGTCCAAGCAGTGTACCTTGAAAGATAACCTAATAAAAGGAGTAGATATAATTCATTGCAGTGTCAAATAGATGTGCTTGCTGCAATTTCTAAGCTGCAGGTTTTCTTAATTAGTATGCTAATTAGGATCATTAATAATTATTCCTCACATCTGCACCATTTGATAGTTTTCACATTTTTTCGCATGTATTGTTTAAGCTCTATGGAAACTTTGTAAGGTTTATAGGATAAGTGATGGTCTCATTTCACTTCTTGCCCAGGGTTACCTGATACATAAGGACCCTCTCCAATTTCTTTTTTAAACTAAGTTGACAATGCCAACCAAAGGTGATTTTATGTGACTTTGTAAATGAAATGACAAATTTAATACCCTTTTCCCAAACTGTAAGGAGCCCTGGTGGCACAGTGGTTAAAGCCCTCAGCTGCAAACCGAAAGGTCAGCGGTTTGAACCCACCTCCACGAGAGAAAGATGTGGCATTCTGCTTCTGTAAAGATTACAGGCTTGGAAACCCTGTGGGGCAGTCCCACTCTGTCCTGTCAGGTCGCTATGAGTTGGAATTGACTAGAGGGCAGCAGGTTTGGGTCTGGTCTTCAAAGAGTAAGGGGAGAACAGATTTCGTTCCTTTTGAATTAATGAGATGAAGAGCGGGCTGGAGAGAAGCAAGGTGGAGAGAACTCTGATCTTCAGCGTTCTATTTCTGTCCCAGTTCTTTTGTTCTTTCCGTGTAACGATAGAATCTAAGTGTTTTAAAGAGGTTTTATGTTTATTTTGGCCAAGTACGTTTTTTTTCAGAATTGCTCAGAATTGTACAGAATACTTATTAGTTCCTGTAGCAGGAGAAACCTCTCCAGCAACTCTTGTTTTCTTCTTTGCACAGAAAGTCTGTTTTGTATGAGTTGAGTCTAGATTGTATAACAGCAAGTTTGCTAACAGGGTACCATAAAGATAGAATATATAAAGACAGCAGTAAGAGTTGATAAATATCTTTGAGGAGTTAAAATAGATTACATTTTATACACTGCCCATCACCTCTCTTGCTGTCATCTGCTGCAGCTGCTTCTTTTTTTAAAAAAGTGTATGAATAGAATCTATAAATATTAATAGTACTGTTTGGTGCTAGTAGTATTTGAGAGATATTGAACTGGCTCCTTTGTGCATTGTCTTGCTTTCCTGATTTATTCCTCTTAGCAACACAATGAAGCAAGGGTTGTTTTCTACTTTTTATAGATGAGGATAGTGAAGTTAAGGGAAATTAAGTAACTTTCCTAAAATGACCTAGGCACTTAGTTGCAATTCCTGTAACTCTGGGAGGAGGGGTGGGATTAAAATCCAGGTGTCCAGTTTCATGGACGTTATCAAGATAATGAACACATCGTAAAAATCAAGGAAAAGATTGAGAGTGTTTTCATTAACACAAACCTGTGGGATGTAAATTTAATTTTCATTCAGGAATAGCCAAGGCTGATCATTTAGTTCCCTGTTTGAGCTAGTGTTTAGTCTTTGGAAAGTGTGGGCAGGAAAGCAGTCCCATTTGGGTTTTTAATCTAGAGGTTAAGTTTATCCTTTTATTTCCTTCATTTCTTCCATTGCTACTCTTTTCTGTATTTCGTCTTCCTTAACGGTACCCTTATTCTCCGCTTCATCATCTTTTTCAGTCATCCTGTTCATACTTTCTCTGAGTTTTAAGAATACTTAGTCTAATTTAAAGACACTATGAACTTCAATCAGAAAGCCTCTTTACATGTTGGTGGACCAGAGCAGTGTGAGTTTGGATCTCATGCAGGCGTTGCAGAGGGCCCCAGCGGCTGTTCAGACACTGTTCTGCCTGTAAGGCGGGCAGCCCAGACTTGAGCAACTGCTTTGTGAGACTAGTGTGACATTTCATCCCAGCCTCTATCTTTGTTCTCCTCCTTACTTTCAGTCCACCTGCTGCCTATATGCAGAACTCAGAGTAGTGGTATATATAGAACACTGTTGCTCAACCTTCGTATCTCCACAGTTTGTAAGATAAGTATATGGGTAACCGACTTACTGTATAAGGCAGCCCTGACAATATAAGGATCCTGGAAAACACTGTTTTAGGCAGGCAATTTCAGTGGATCAAAATAAAATGTGATGTCAAATCTAGAATGAGGAAAATTATAGAATAGAGGGAAGTTTGAACAATTTGAATTAAACTGGGAAAGGGGAAAATGGAGACGAGGGCAGTCTAGGTGTATGGAAAAAAATCTATAATTCTGTTACACTAGGTGTGAATAAAAATAATTACTTTTTATTTAGGTCAAACCTTCTACATTCATGAGTTTTAGTCTTTTTCAAATGTTCACCTTGGAAGGCTGAAATCTAAAATGATTTTAAAAAGCCTTGAACATTCTTTGTGTGCCAGATACATACAGCCGTTAGTCGTTTCAGAACTCTTCCTTGGCAGAGGGGGATTGCTGTTTGAGCCAGTTTATGAACGCCGAGAAATGCTCTCACGGTGTTCACAGTGGACAGGCCTCGGGACGCACCTGCTGTTACTCCCTGGACCTCAGAATGCATGTCCTTAGGCTCTGTCTGGTGGCTAGATTTGCCCCGTAGACGGAACATTTGCAAATGTGGACGCCGTTCAGATGAGTGTGAGATGCCTCCTGAGTGCAAGGCACAAAGCTAGGTATTCTGGGGCGTTAATTCTCATGCTCTTAGCCTTCAGACAGGTCATAGTCTAATAGGGGGGTAAACATACCCCAAAACTAGACAGATAAGGGAGGCACTGGGGGCGCTGAGAGAACTCCAGGTTGCAGAAGTATAGTGGGGTTTTTACCCCTAAACAGTTCAGTTTTTTTAGCTATGTCTCTTACGACATTTAACATTTTGATTTTAAGTGGGTACAGTAGCGAACTCTACACAGTAAGCGTGGCCTAGGAGAAGTACCAGAGGAATTAAAAAAAAAAAATTATTAGATATAAAATTAAAAAAATGAGTGCCTAGCAGGGAAATCAGAGGTGATTTAAGGCAAGATCCCTCCCCTTAAAGAACGTAATCTAGTAGTGATATGAATTATTTGTTTTTAGCATGTCAAGTGGTTATGCTTAAAAATAATTTTCTTAAGTAGTTTAAACATTCCCTCTGTAATTTTATTTGCACTGTTAATTTGCTTAGTAATTCTTTCCTTCGTAGATCATATAAATGTAAATTTCTGCCCAATTCTAAATTAATACATTTTGAGTTTTGAAGTTTAAACATATTTTCAAAGAAGACGGTATTCCTTGATAACATTGCATCTTGAAAATAGGAAGCAACACAATTCAGGGTGTGACAGATGAAAGCTAGTTGATTTGTTCCAGGAGACACCAATTTCTTACAGATGTTTTTGACTCATTATGCGTCCTTGTAGACCCATGCATCAGTGTCTTCTTTTTTTCTGTGTTTAGTTTGTAATTCAATGCTCCTAATCCAGTAGATACTTAATAAACTTATTTAAAAATAAATGTGACTTCATCATCTCCATCTTTTGATTCTTGTCACCTCTCAGGTATTTGAAAACGTGTCCATATTACACGTATTTATTCATTCTCTTCCAGTTCTTCCACTTAACTTGATTGATGCGCTTCTTTCTTTAGATCAGAATCAAGCTCTGCGGCTCTGTCTGGGTGGCACTAGTGTGGGAGAGCAGTATGGAGCCATCTCTGCCCTCAGTATCAACAATGACTGCTCAAGACTTCTTTGTGGCTTTGCCAAAGGACAGGTAAGATAGGAACTTTGTTTTATCCATATGATAATGTTATAATAAAATCAGTTTAAAAAAATCCTACATCTTTAGATCAGTTATCTCAAAGATCAAAATATGTATTATAAAATGACATGTCTGTGAGCTAAACAGAGATTGCTTAGTCAGACTTCTGTCTTTATTCAGAAATTTTAATTATTATGGACCGAACCAGAATCTGTTATTTTTAATATCCTAATTTATGTTTCTCTATAAATAAATAGCCTTCATAAACAAACCTGGGGGTTATATAACATGTACTTCCTTGCAGTTGTTGCTGTTGGGTGCCACTGAGTCGACTCCTACTCATAGTGACCCCATGTGACAGAGTAGAAGTGCCCCATAGGTATTATTCTAAGCTGTAGTCAGTTCAGGAGCTTCCGTGGGGTACTATAGATAATTGTGACTGCTTTGAAGATACATTATATTGTGCTTTCTGTATTCTTATTATCATGCTCCTGGGTAACTATTTTGGTATTGCTCTCTCTCTGCTTCTGAAACCGGCAATAGGTTATGGTTTTTGCCATCGTCTGATTTAGGTATCAACAGCTGGTTTGGCAGTGAGGCTCTTCCGGAGTTTTTATCATTGCTAAACAGATTGAATCATCAGAGAGCTTTCTTTTACCTCTCCGTAGAAGAACATTAAACATGTAAAGGGACAAGTAGGTTAGGGAGGACGAGGGGCAGATGAAGATAGAAGAAAGACCGCATGCTTTAGTCAATCTGCAATCCTTAGTTATGTTTTAACTTTGTAGTTCTTTGCCTGCAATGTTTATAGACCAGGAATAGATTATATCAGCCAGAAGGCAGGATACTTAAGTCCAGAAAAGAGCAATAAATTTGTTTTTAAAGCACTTAGTTGTCTTATAGATCACCATGTGGGATTTAGCCAGTGGAAAACTTCTGAGATCAATAACAGATGCACATCCTCCGGGAACAGCAATCCTGCATATCAAGGTGATATCTTCGTTTTCTTTGCTAATAATTCTCATTATTATTATGCTTTTGTATCTGTTTTTAAGTAAATTTCTCCATATTGATAATCAAAAGTCCAAAAATTGTATTTAAGGTGAAGCTGAACATCATCTTAAAAATAGAATCCTTTGAATTGAACCACCTTTTATTGCCTTGTGCAGTTAGATGGTTTCTCATGGTAAAACCAGAGAGGGACCAGCATGGAAATATGCAGCTTGAGGGTGTATTGAAATCTAATAGATATAACAGCAAAAAGGGCGAACTGAGATGATCCTAGACTAGAGATCGGCAACAAACACAGGCAACTCCCTGCTGCAAACTCAGATTTTAAGAGGTCGTTCTACCTTTGTTCAGTCCACCAAGACTTTATTGCTGAGGTGACATGCTCTGCCCTCTTTTGGCGGTTGTCTTGGGTTCAATGCACCAACTGTGGAAGAACCCAGGTTCAGATTATGTTTAGAAGTGAATCCGTTAGTTTCGTTTCGTTCAGGCCTCTAAAAGGAAAGCATTAAGACCCCGTTCTTGGCCTTCTCCTTACAGGCCTGAAAAAAAGAAAACAACCTGGATTTATTCATTTACAGATGAACTCATTTATAAAGATACTTGTGAACCTTAGTTTGTGCGCGCCATCAAGTCCATGCTCCGAGGTGTAAAGAGTAAAGACCTGTGATGAGGGAAGTCTACAGTCAGATCGTCTAGATTTTAATCACGTGCACATTTGGTTGCTTAGCTGTGCAGAGCTCTCGCATCCAGACACAGGCTTTTTAAAGTCTGCCAGCGTCTGGAGCTACGTGTCTGCATCTACGTTGGTTACCAAAAGTCTTTCTAACAAAGCAGCATCCCTGAAGCACTTACTAACAAGGACAGCAGCCAACACAAGTCAGAGTAGAGAGAATTTCTCTTCTGAGCCATCATGGCGGTTGACCTCTTGGCGTACGGCACGTACCAACTTCTAATATGTTCTAGTTGTTTGTGGATGTGACTTATCTCTGTTAGTAGACTGTAAGTCCTCTGAAGCCAGGATCTTTCTATCATCTGTTTTTGTGTTTAACCCATACCCGTTTACCCGTTGCCATCGAGTTGATTCCAACTCATAGCGACCCTGTAGGACAGAGTAGAACTGCCCCATAGAGTTTCCAAGGAGTGGCTGGTGGATTCGAACTGCTAACCTTTTGGTTAGCAGCTGAGCTCTTAGCCACTGCGCCACCAGGGCTCTGTTTTACCTATAGTAGCTGCTTAATAATTGGTTGAAGGAGTAATTAGTTGGTGGTATTTATAAAAGGCCAACCTTTTGCAGAAAAACAAAAAAACACAAAAATTTTTGGGGAAACAATAAGAAAGAGAAGCGATAAAGGCAGAGAGACGAGAAGAATGTGGCTGGGATTAAAAGCGTGGTAGGAGCCTTTGTGTTGTTTGGGAATGGTGATGGAGGTGGTTTGTGCAGACACCATGACATTGGAGGAGACAGCAAGAGACATTTATGAAGGCACACTTCTGAAGTCGTGATTGACAACAGCCACTGGCATTCTTGCTGTTTGTCCTCTAGACTTTTAACCCCATATACCATCAGTAACCCTTAATCTGTGTGCAGTCCATCCTCCTTATTCACAGATTCCGTATTCACAGATTTGCCTGATGAGTAAAAATACTCACTGTGCTCTCATGGTCTTTTGCAGACATGCGTAGGTGCAGAGCAGGGGAAAAAAAATTCCCAGCTGAGGCTGGTTCAGAAAAAAACAAAACAAACCCACTGCCATCAAGTCAATTCCCACTCATAGCGGCCCTATAGGAGAGAGTAGAACTGCCCCATAGGGTTTCCAGGGAGCGGCTGGTGCATTTGAACTGCTGACCTTTTGGTTAGCAGCCAGACTGTTAACCACTGTGCCACCAGGGCCCCGAGGCTGGTTCAGAATTCACTAATTCAGTGTTCATGGGGACTTTATGGAACATAACTACTGTGAATAATGAGAATCGACTGTATGTTTATTTTAAAAACTATATACAAGTTCTGGTATTCCTCCTGTGTTCCAGTGGACCATCTCATGCACGCCCTTAAGGAAACATGCTTCCCATTTTGGCAACTGGCTTTGAGAGCGAAGTGTGGGTCTTCTTTACTGTGCCTGTGTGGGGGGCAAAGGGAAAATAATTTTATAGTGGCCTCTTGTCTCTCAACCATCCCTGACTTAGAGTGTGAAGGCATGCCATATTGGATGGTTCCCCAACCTTTGGGGTTAGGGAGGCTGGTCACTGTGAATGGTACTGTAGTAAGAATTTATGTTACTCGGTTTTGTACCCTAGAACATTCACATATACCATACCTCATCACCTTAGAGCTGTCTGTTAGTGTGGACATTGTTTATTATTTGTTATTCTGAGTCTCCAGATTAAGTCATATTAACTGAAGTATACTCTGTCTAAGCAGATGAAGGAGGCAGCACATTTTAGGGAGAGTTACATAAAAAGTGTACTGCCCATCTCTCGGTTTGTCATACCATGGTGGCTTGCATGTCACTATGATGTTAGAAGCTATGCCACCAGTATTTCAAGTACCAGCAGGTCACCCATGGCAGACAGGTTTCAGAGGAGCTTCCAGACTGAGACAGACGAGGAAGAAGTGCCTGGTGATCTGCTTCTGAAAATTAGCCAGTGAAAACCTTATGGATCAGAACAGATTGTCCGATATGGTGCTGGAAGATGAGCCCCCTAGGTTGGAAGGCACTACGCAATAGCCGCAACAATGGCCTCAGACACACCAACATCATGAAGATGGTGCAGAACCAGGCAGTGTTTCCTTCTGTTAAAGATAAGGTCGCCACGAGTCGCAGCCAACTTGACGGCAACTAGCAGCAACATTAAAACTTAAAATACAGTGGATGAACTCTTCAGTTATTCAGAAAACATATTCAGACAAGTTTACTCCCCCAGAATACCAAATATCTCTACTGTGTCTTTATTCTTAAAAACTGTTGCTGTTGGGTGCCGTCAGTCGATTCCGACTCACAGCGACCCTATAGGACAGAGTAGAACTGCCCCCTAGGGTTTCCAAGGCCGTCATCTTTATGGGAGCAGGTGTTTCTCCTGCAGAGCAGCTGGGTGGGTTCAGACAGCGAGCACTTTACCGTTGCACCATCAAGGCTCCTTTCTTGAAAACTGGGCAGCTGGAAATACAGCTGAAGGTAATGTGCCCCATTCAGTTTAATAGCTGAGTCACAGAGTTAATCTGAGAGCACAAGAAGAGACCTTTAGGACTTTATGGATCAGAGTTTGTATTTTTTTTTTTTCCATCCTGGTGAAAGGTGGTATTGCTTTTTAAAAGCCTCAGTTTTTTCTGTTAAGGGTAAGGTTGTATGTTTAGAGTGACGAACTGAGTAGACTTGAGGTTATTTCAAATGCTATTAAATGTGTATGTTGTAGATTTTTAAAACTTTATAATTTTTTTCCTTACCTTCCTAACACTTGTCTGGTTGTTTAAAAATCTACGAGAAAATGAATTTCTTCTCTGTTTAGTTTACAGATGATCCGACGCTTGCAATTTGCAACGACAGCGGAGGCTCTGTGTTTGAATTGACATTTAAGTAAGAGACTCAGAGACATTTGATGACAAATGAAAAGACTAGCTCTGGCTTGATGGTTTGAAATTGGACATGAATAGGTCTGGAAAATCCATGTGATGAAATTAGGTTCTGACTGTATCACAGTTACCTGGAGAGACTTATGGAACATATGGTGTTCCAGTCCTGGCCCCCAGAAATTCTGTCTCCAGGTCTCGGTGGAGATCCCAGACTCCTCCTTACCAGGGGATTTTTATGAATTGCCAGGCTTGGGGACCGCTGTTCATAGTATCTCACTAATTTCCTTTGAGACCCTATGCCACTCGATTTTAACCCTAATGGCCAGGTGTAAAAAGGTTGTAATTGCCTTGGAATTACTCTATTACTCTTTAAATAAAAACAGAGTGTCTAGATACTAGAGTTTGTTTAAAAAATGTAGAAACATAAAATTCCGTGTGCACTACATGTCCATAAGTTCTTCAAGAATAAGGACTGTCTTTATTTCTTGTATTTCTCATAGCTGCTAACAATGCTGAGCACAAAACAATTGCTTGAAACTCTGCTCGTTCAGCTGATGTTTGTTAAGCATCTCCTATGTGTAGGCATTGTTCTAGGCACCAAAGTCTGTGAACCAGACAGACAAGGCTCCTACTCTGATAGAACTTAGGTTCTAGTTGGGTTGAGGGTATGGAGACAGATAATAATAAACCAAAAACATAAATGAAATAACCTGGGATAGTTATGAGTGCCGTGAACAAAGTAAGGCTGGTCGTTGTGCTGGAGCGCACTTGAGGATAGTTCAGGAAGGCTCTCTCAGGTGGGGGCATTTGAGCGAAGACCTGAGTGATGAGCAGGTCAACAGATGTAAAGATCTGGGTGGAGTGTTACAGGCAGAGAGGCGTCCATGCACAGACGCTTTGAGCTGGGTGCAAACTTGGCCTCCTGGCCCAGCAGAAATAAGGCGAGTGTGGCTGGAGCAGAACGTTGTCAGCAACAGCAGTAGTGGGCTAGGAGGAAGGCAGATGCCAGATCACGTAGGCCTTTAAACACAGGGTAAAGAGTTTGGGTGTTATGTTACGTACAATAGCAAGTCATTGGAATGTTTTCAGCAGAAGAGTGATAAATCTTAACATATTAAAAAGACTATGCTGCTGTCAAGTAGAGTTTGGATTGTTGGGGACAAGAGTAGGAGTTAGGAGGCTATTGCAGTAGTCCAAGCTGGAAGTGACAGTACCTGGGATCATTGCTAAATTGATTCTGAAATTTTTTTTTTTTTGGTTATATTTTCAGGAGAGTGATGGGGGTGAGAACATGTGAATCCAGATGTCTGTTCAGTGGTTCCAAGGGTGAAGTTTGCTGTATCGAGCCTCTACATTCTAAGCCTGAGTTGAAAGATCATCCCATCACGCAGTTTTCGTTACTGGCCATGGCATCCCTAACAAAGGCAGGTGTATTTACAAAATGAAACCTCATAACTTTCAGAGGCTTTGCATACCAAAGATTTGAAACGTATAGGGTAACAGTTGGCAATCTGTTTTCTCCTGTAGATCCTGGTCATTGGATTGAAACCGTCCTTGAAAGTGTGGATGACTTTTCCCTATGGACGGGTGAGTAAGCCTGTCCCTCTTACTGGCAGAAGGGAGGGAAAGGAGGGCTGTGTCCGGAAGTTGGGGAAAACGACTTAGAGTGGCAAGCTCAGGGAACAGTAGGATCGTCAGAAAACTCAGTAGAATAGTCATTTCTCCAAAGATCATTGTCTGGACTTCCCTTGAAGTGACCAAGGCAGCATAAGATGGTGACTAGAGCAGTGTCCTTGGGACCATGGGCACCACACTTTTCTCCCTTTGTCACTTTGTTTTAAGTTTTTCTGTCATAAACAGCATAGAGCTGGCTTTTGATTTTAACATCAGTTTAACAGCCTCTGTGTATGGCTGTCCCGGTGCTTTGTGATCACGCCTAATTTTATGCATGGATTGTCCTGGCCTCACTTACTGCCCATTTGATCACAGTAAATCCCTTATCAGATGTAAAGCTGGAGGATATGTTGATGTATTGATTCGCAGCCCCAGTTTCCAGTGTTTGAAAGACCTGCGTTTTTGTGAGGTAGGATTGTTCTCACTGCTGCTTTGATACTGAACCACCGATAGAATCCATCCCGCTCTAGTATCCAGGATACGATGCCACTCCATACCCTTTTCTTGGCTCCTGCCTCTGGTATTTTACTTTGTATGGGATATGATACTTCCCAAGATGTGTTATGTACACCCGAGTTTCCCCCTTCTTTCCTGCTTGCTTGTTTTCAGAGAGTTTTGACCTTACAATGCGTCTGTGAGGCGAGGTACTGATGGGATGGAGGTGGAGAATGATGATACAGAATTCTGCCTAGTTGAGAAAACAGCCCCCACGCTGAGGGAAATGACTCTTGTTTATCTTGTTGGTACCCTGTGCTTCTCTGTGCTCCAGGGAAAGTAGGCCTGCTGTTGCAGATAACAGTGCTGGCTTAGATTGGGTTAGCTTCAATGTCTACTTGAGTTTTATCATGGTGGTATTTGTTTGCGTCTTTTATATGTTTTTATTAATATTTTTCCAACATTTTATTATGAACATTTTCATACAAATAGCAAAATTGAATTACATTGAACACCTTTATACCCACTGTCTAAATTCTACCATTAACATTTTACTGTACTTTAATACATATATATTCATTTATCCATCTCTCTATCCACCCATCAAACTATTTTATTTTTGATGTATTTCAAAATAAATTGCTGGAACCAGCATTCTTTCCCCTAAATATTCAGCACACATATCATTAGCTAGAATTCAGTATTTGTTTAGGTTTTTCCACTGGTGTTAAATTTACATAGAATGAAATGCACAAATCTTGACTGTACTTTTGCTGAAATTTGACGCATGTATATGTTTTTGTAACCTAAACCACTGTCAAGGTATAGAACATTGCTATCAACCTAGAAACTTCTGTCACGATGAATCCTCCCATCAGTCCCAGCTTCATTGGAATTTCAATGAGGAATTGAGAGACGGTGTGTCAAGAACACTAGTCAGGCTGTTTTTAACTAGAGTTTCCTCTTTGTCCTTCTTTCTGTTAACTGTGATGACTTTGTTTTTTTGCATTCTCCTCGCCCAGATGGATCCTTCCAGTGTTCCGTTGCTGGCCTGGCACTTTGTGGCCGTGCATAACTATGTGAATCCCATGCTTGCCTTCTGCAGAGGAGATGTGGTTCACTTTCTGTTGGTAAGTCCCAACGTGATGCTAGATCTGCTGTCCAGTCCTGTATCATAAGATTGTTGTTTTTTCTGATTTTATCAGTAATTTAATGTTGTGTCAAAGAGACATCCTATTGTACTTCTTTGGAGAGAGAGTGACTTAATTTTTATTTAAGGTTCTAATGGTGAACATGAAAAAAAACTGATGACCCTCAGCTCCATGCCCCTTCCTTCACAGTTTATTTCTCAGTTCCATCTCCTTCGACTGACAAATTAACAGTGTGTGTGTCGCTGTGAGTCAGAATTGACGGCACACGATGACAGTGGTGTGTATGTATAAACATATCAATGTGCACATGCCTGTATTAAGGCTTGCCTGTCTATCCTTATATATGTTTATTAGAGAACAAGTATCATTGAGCACCTACTGTATTCTCTATACCGTGATAGACATAAGAGGCAATTGAAGGTAGTGTAGACCATAATTTCTCCTTTCACAGCTGATATTGTTTGAAAGGTAAAACCAGTACACTTATTACTACTAGAGGGAACAGTTAAGGATTGAACTGTATGATAAGAATTAAAAGTTCATATAAGTTCAGAGCACAAAAGAGCCTTGGTGGCACAGTTAAAGTGTTCGGCTGCCAACCAAAAGGTGGGCGGTTTGAATCTACCAGCAGCTCTGCGGGAGAAAGATGTGGCAGTCTGCTTCCCTAAAGAGTACGGCCTTGGAAACCCTATGGGGCAGTTCTGCTCTGTCCTGTAGGGTTGCTGTGAGTCAGGATCAACTTGAAGGCAAGCTTTGTGTTTTCTTTTTTGTGCTACAGTGGCAGAATTGAGTAGGTGTGACCGAGATGTATGGCCCACAGAGTCTAAAATACTTGCTGTGTGGGCCTTTATGGAAAAAGTTTGCTGATCCTCGATCTAGATTATAGAAGGTATTGCCCTAGATTGCTAGTGGGGAGCCATCACAGATTCTTATGTAAATAAAGTGATATGACCTCAGTGATATTTTAGGAAGGTCATTCTAGAAGTAGCAAAAAGAATAGATTATAGGAATTAGGAGGGAAATGGAAGATTTTGCTCTTGTAATAAAGCAGCTGTGAGTTGTTTAGATAGGGGTGGTTGGTTGCAGTGAGAATTAAGAAGGGATGGAATTTTGATGGAAAGACACGGTTTCCTATCATATTGGATCTAGGAACCAAAAGAAGTGAGAGAAAGATCCCATTTCTGACTTTGCATTTTAGAGCATGAGATATTTGAAGAGAAGATTGCTTGAGCGGGGAGACGTCTGGGAAAGATTTGAATGTGTTGACTTGGAAGGGAAGATGGGTCTTACAAGTGTTACATCAAGGAATGTATCCAGAGAGAACTCCAGGATATAATGGGAATTCCAGGATATAAAAGGTAGTTGAGGCTGTGAAAGTCAAAAGCTAAAGCATGTGTAAACCTTGGAGGACAGTCACATAAGAGAAAGGCAAGAGAAAAGGGAACAGAAGAAGCAGTTCCTATGAAGTCATGTAAAGGTAGGAGGGGACGTAGAGCAGTATGGTGTCACACGAAGACAAGGAGGGGAAGACTTCGGGACAGTACCACTTCCAGGATAATGTCAGAGGAAGATGAGGGAAGAGGAGGACTGAAGACAAGACCCCTGGACACAGCAAGAAGGAGTTCTTTATAAACTTGTCAGAGGACTAATTCTCAGTGGAATGGGGATAGAAGCTAGATTTTAGAGCCTTGTTAAAAGAAATGGATATCTGGAAGACCAGACTCACACAAGTGTGTTTGATTGCAAGAGGGAGGAATATAATTAAATCCTAGCCAGAAAAAGTAAATCAAGGGGAAGTTTCTTTTTGTTTGTTTTGTTTTTAAGGTGGGAAGTCAGAAACTTTTTTTGTTTTTATTGTGTTTTAAGTGAAAGTTTATAGCACAAATTAGTTTTTTGATTCAAAAATTTATACACAGATTGTTTAGTGACATTGATTTCAATCCCCACAATGTGTGAGCACTCTCCCCCTTTCCCTTTCCACCCTGGATGCCACGTGTCCTTTCATCCAGTTTTTCCCGTCCCTTCCTGCCTTCTCATCTTTGCTTTTGGGGAGGTGTTGCCCATTTGTTCTCATATACTTGATGGAACTAATAAGCATGTTGCTCACATGTGTTATTGTTTGTTTTATAGGCCTGTCTAACCTTTTGAGGAACACGTTTGATAGTAAAAGGAAAAGGGTCTTTAAGAAGGAGGGATTGAATATGATAGCCAGGGAGGGGTGGTATTAAACAGAGATGGAGGGAGGTGGGATTTAGAGTATGTATAGGTGAGGTCATTTTCTTTCATAAGAGCTTTAAAAAATATTAGGATAACGTTGGCATTGATCTTTTCAGTTTATGAAACACTTTCACCAAATGTAACACAGAGAACAATTGGGTGCTGTCTTATTTTCCTTTTACCAGTGTAGAGACTGAGAATCAGCACCTCGCACTTGGTCTCACAGCTGTGAGTAGTGGAACTTACACACAGGGCTTCCAGGTTCCATGTTCATTTCACCTGAGCATCTTTTCTGATGGGGAACGTGATGTCATGAAGATGGGAGTACAGGAAGGGCCCATATTAAGTGGTCTCAGTTTTGTGTTAAAGTATCAGGGAAGGTCAGATACTGTAAACGATGGAACTATAAGGCAAAGAGGAACTGGGACTTAAAGGAAGACGTCTAGAACACTCCTGTGGGGCCGTGTCAGCCAAGTCAGGTTGAATTGAATATCACCAAATTCAAGTAGGTTAGGTTCATACTCGCTGTGTCTGTCTTTAGTGCTCTGCTACTTTGGAGCAGAAGTGGAGAAAGAATTACGATCAAGGATTATAGAGTACATATGTACACAGACAAATAAAATGTTGGAATTCAAGGTTCTTTAGGGTGGTTTTGGGCCCTTTTCTCATAATTCTGAAAAGTCTAATTTCATCACTGTACCTCCTTTTTTGTTAATGAACTTTTGTTTGATGTCATTGCACCCTTGACACCAATCCCATTTTATGCCTTAACTCTAGTCAAATACAGTCATTGATGTGATAAAGTCAGGTTTTTCCAGATTATGACAGAGTGAAAATTATTCTGTAGCCTTTGCTAATACAACTAGATTGCTAACCAGCGCTTTGGATTCTGGTACAAACCAAGGTGGGAATGACTTTTTTTTTCATTAGTGTAATATTTTCCTAAGTTATCAATATTTTTGGCTTATCCACATTCTGATGGGAATCATTTCATAAGTGGAGTATAATTAAGTATTTAAGTCTCTCAAATAATAGCTGATTTAGATTGTTATCTCGTCATCAAGGTTAAGCGTGATGAATCTGGAGCAATACATGTTACTAAGCAGAAGCATCTTCACCTGTGCTATGACCTCATCAACTTCACTGTGAGTATGATTCAGAGTAACATTCCCCATTTATTTTCACGTAATTATTCTGACCGGTTTCCTAAGGCTAACGGGATTTCTGCCATGAACCATGATGTTATGGATTGAATTTTGTCCCCCAAAATGTACGTCAGCTTGGCCGTGATTCCCAGTATTGTGTGGTTGTCCGCCATTTTGTGATCTGATGTAATTACCTAGTGTGTTGTAAATCCTAACCTCTATGATGTTAATGAGGCAGGATTAGAGGCAGTTAATGTTAATGAGGCAGGACACAATCTACAAGGTTAGGTTATATCTTGAATCAGTCTCGTTGGAGATATAAAAGAGAGAAGCGAGCAGAGACAAGAGGGACCTCCTGTCACCAAGCAAGAAGTGCTGGGCTAGAGCACGTCCTTTGGGCCTGGGGTCCCTGCGTTGAGAAGCTCCTAAACCAGGGAAAGATTGATGACAAGGACCTTCCCCCAAAGCAGACAGAGAAAGCCTTCCCCTGGAGCTGATGCCCTGAATTTGGACTTCTAGCCTATTACCTGTGAGAGAATAAATTTCTGTTTGTTAAAGCCATCCACCTGTGGTGGTTCTGTTATAGCAGCACTAGATGACTGAGACATATAACATTTAGGATCATGTAAAATATGGATAGAAGTGAAATCCTGCTTATATTGACTGAAGTCCAAGTTAGGCGTGATGCCACGTGATTGTTGCTTCTCAGCCTTATGCCCTGCTGAGCCCTGGCGGGACCAGGGGCCTTGTCTTCAATGGCCTGGTCACATCAAAGCGGAATTCCAGTGATCCCTTTCGGACCGTTGCCTTGCTTTCTCTGGAAACATGTTTTTCTATTTCTGAGTTGGTCCTAAGGGGTTCAGGAGTTTATGCAACCTATTCTTTCCTTGTTACCAAACACTTGGCAAAGAGTTCTCTCTCTACCATGCATCTCAGTCCTGAGTGACTTCTTGGTTTAAAAAAGAAAGAGGATTTCTTTTTGTATCAAATTTTATTTTTTCATTTTTAAATAGTGTATTAGTTTTGAGGATAGTGTAAATTAAAATATTTCTGTATTTCTGTCGTTAATGCTTTTAGCACATTGGTATCTGGTATCCAGTGACACGTTCTACATCTGCATGAATGTAAACAGCCGTTGCTGTCCAGTGGATTCTGACTCACAGCAGTCCTGTAGGACAGGGTAGAACTGCCTCATAGGGTTTTCAGGGCTGTAAATCTTTTACAGGAGCAGGTCGCCAGGTGTTTTCTCCTGTGGAGCCACTGTCAGGTTCAAGCTGCTGACCTTTTGGTTAGCAGCTGAGTGCTTAACCGTTGCAGCACCAGGGCTCCCTATTGACACGAATATAGACATCCTTCAATATAAGACAACCTCCTTTTTCCAAGGACAAGGCTAACAAAAGCTTTTTCTCCAGCTTGATCATATTTAACTTTTAAGGATAGAGATGAGATACTGAGATCTTTATTTATAATAGATGATTTGTTATATAGCTGTGCATTGCATTTTAAACTCACGTTTAGACTACTGATTTAAATCATGATTTTCCCACACGTTTCCTGAGATGACTTTGTTCAGACTCCTCCTGTGAGTATGAGACATCAGCGTCTCTGTCACCACCACTGTCCCTCGTGGAATCGTCTAGCAGTTTTCTGGAATTCATTATCATCACTTCAGCTTAAGGTGTTTGAGATAACAGCATTTAAAAAATCTGCGTATGGTCCTGCCACCGGAAGGTTTTTCCCCAACTGCAGGTAGCCGTTCTCCTAACACGGTGTTGTCACTCGTCCGTTGGCACATCCGTGATGTGACCGCTGGCTGCACCGCTTCGTAAAGTGGCCTTTAGAGGGCTTGTTTGCAACAGTGTCAACGTTTGCCGTTGTGAGGGTGTGACCCTGGATGCGTTAGACACAGAGATGGACTGACGCGGTGGCGGCAACAGTGGGCTCCAGCAGAACAGTGATTGTGAGGATGGCGCAGGACCGGGCAGTGTCTCGCTGTGTTGTACACAGGGTCGCTATGAGTCGGAACTGACTCAGCGACACCTAACGACAACAACCCCGGGTGGAAGGAGCCTCGGTGGCACAGTGGTTAAGCACTTGATTGCTAACTGAAAGGTCAATGGTTCGAACCCAGCATCCACTCTGTGGGAGAAAGATGTGGCAGTCTGCTCCCATAAAGATTACAGCCTTGGAAAGCCTGTGGGGCAGTTCTTCTCTGTCCTGTGGGGTCACTATGAGTCAGAATCAACTCCAACTCGATGGCAACAGGTTTGGTTTTTTTGGTTTAACTCTGGGTGGCACAAACGAGTAAGCGCTTGACTACTAGCTGAAAGTTTGGCAGCCTGGACTCACCCAGAGGCAGCTCGGAAGACAGGCCTGGCAGTCTGCTTCTAAAGGGTCACAGCCTTGAAAACCCCGTGGAGCAGTTCTACTCTGCACGTATGGTGTCGCCACGAGTCAGCATCCACTCAACAGCAGCTAACAATCAGCACCACCTCAGGATAACTGCTACGCCTTTGGTGGTGGTCTTCATCTCTGTCATCGTCCTCTTTTAGCCCACTGACCTCTGAAAGCACTTAAACGCTAGCACTGACTAAGGTTTTAGAAGGCTACATAAGGTGTCTTTCTTAAATGATAATTTATTTTTCAAGGCGAAGTAATAAAGAAAGGACTTTATATTATAAGAGCTCCTTAGAAGATTTATAGTGGTTAAGAATTGGGCTGCTAATCAAAAGGTTGGTGGTTTGAATCCACCAGTCACTCCTTGGAAACACCATGGGGCAGTTCTGCACTGTCCTGTAGGTCGCTGTGAGTTGGAACTGACTTGACGGCAATGAGTTTGGTTTTTTTTTGTTTGGTACAAAGATTTGAGTATCAAACTCCTGTTAATCTGAGGAATAATTTTTTTTGGTTGGGGGAAGAAGCCAGTCTTTCTTTGTATTGACCTTTATACAGTGATAGGGTATATCTTTAGCATATATTAAAAGAATATTGATCCATTATCAGTTTGGTTGTCTTTGATATAGTATATCATGCAATTAATCTTTGATAACATGCAATAGGTCATATAAATAAAGCAGCATGAATACTAGAGAGAAAGTACAGGGGAGTCACTTTGGTCAGGCTAATTTAGAGTTCTAACTGAGAAAATTTTAAGATTTCATTTATTTCTTGGAGAGGGATTGAGATTTTTTAAAAAATATTTTGAAAATTAGAAATTTTATTTTATACATAACCTATGAAATCTGTCAAAATGACATCTTTTAGAAGAGTTGTCAATTATTATTAAATTAGTTATTTTAAAATTATAATAGTACTTATTAAAAAAATATTGAAAGATGCATAAAAATAGAAAGAACAAAGAAATTTCCCATAATTTTTAGGGAGATTTTGAAGGAAATACGTATTTTAAATAGCTTCTACTTTAACATATGTAATGCTTCATTGCTAACAATCAATCTTTGACCTGCTAGGTTTATGAGGTATGATTTGCCCTTTTATTTCATTAATGGTCATAAAAACTAGAAATGCAAAATTTGTTACTTTGCTTAAGTCGTTTGTGCTAACGCACCTTTTGAAAATTTTTATATAAACCAATATATCCTGTAATACGTCTATTGAAGATGTAGTTTTTAGTATTTTCTTTTTGGTGAAAATAGAGCCAAACACCCACCCGTTCAGCGGTTTCTACACGTACCGTTCAGCGGCAGTGGTTACATTCTTCCCTTTGTGTCAACTCTCTGGCTATTTCTACTCACTGTTGAAGAGCCTAGTAAACCTTTAATGCCACGAAAGCGTCACTTCAACACTGCCAAGACTCAGTACTGAGTTGTGCACCCACTGTTCTCGGAGCTGGTACTGAGTCGTTCTTGCTGTGATTGTGTTACCATCTAAATTAGTAAATGGATAAGGTCCTCGAGGTAGTTGAACTCAGTGGCCCAGCTTGCTTGCTTTTGTCCCGAATGATGATGCAGGCTGGGCCTCACTTTGTTTTGTCACGTGCTTCCATTGCAGTGGATCAACTCGCGCACAGTGGTGCTCTTGGACAGTGTGGAGAAGTTGCACGTGGTTGATCGCCAAACTCAAGAGGAATTGGAAACAGTGGAAATCTCAGAAGTTCAGTTGGTCTACAACAGCAGCCATTTCAAATCATTGGCCACCGGAGGAAACGTTAGCCAGGCGCTGGTAAGCACCATCTGTTAGCTTGGTATTGTTTTTGAGAAGCTTGGTATTTTTTTGTTATTGTTGGTTTGTTTTAGAAGTAGGAACTCTGGGGAGGTATCTTTCTGTCTTAAGGTGTTTATTTAACAGCCGCTAGGTTGAAGTGGGCCTGGGTGTATGTGTCAGTATTCAGGAGTGGGAACTAAAACTGTAATTTCTGTTAGTTCTGTCCAGAAATGTGACTAATTTAATGTAATACCAAAGAGTTTAAACTTTTATACTAACATAGTGAAGTGGCATTGAAAATCTGAGAGAAAGAAATTGCAACATTAGAAAGTTTAATCTGTGGCAGTAAGCCTGATAGGTGTGAGAGTTGAATAACGGGACACAGGTAGCCTAGGAGGCTTTGGAAGTATTTGGGTGATATAGGAAGTACTCGAACAGTTACAGTAGCTGTGAGTATTAAAAGACAGAGATGACTTTGAGAAAAAGAAGATTCCTTAGGAATAGATGAATTGTAGGAGCCTAGAGAGAGGGAAGACTCAAACAAAAGTTATGACCTTGGTATTAATTTACTAAATTGTAAGCAACCACAGTAATGGCCTCAAGCAATTACAGATAGTTTACAATGAACTTATTGTGAATTACTATCTCATGTTTATCAAACCAGTAATCTTTAAGCAGAAGATTTAGACTATCGTGATGCTTCCCTGGGTAATTTCTTTAAAAAACAAAACAAAACCCGTTGCCGTCAAGTCAATTCCAACTCATAGTGACCCTATAGGACAGAGTAGAACTGCCCTGTAGGGTTTCCAAGGCTGTAATCTTTACGGAAGCAGACTGCCACATCTTTCTCCTGTGGAGCAGCAGCCAAGCGCTTAACCACTGCACCACCATGGCTTCTTTGAAAATGAGCAAAAGATATGATTAGATATTTTCACTAAAGAAGATATATGAATGGCTAGTAAACCTAGGTGTGCCTGACGCAAGCCATGATCTTTTCAGTGACCTCACATACATGCAAAAGCTGGACAATGAAAAGGAAGACCAAAGAAAAAATGGTGCCTTTGAATTGTGGTGTTGGCGAAGGATATTGAATATACCATGGACTGCCAGAAGATTGAACAAATCTGTCTTGGAAGAAGTACAGCCAGAATGCTCCTTAGACGTGAGATGGCAAGACTTGGTCTCATGTACTTGGGACATGTTATCAGGAGGGATCGGTCCCTGGAGAAGGATATCACGCTTGGTAAAGTAGAGGGTCAGCAAAAGTTAGGAAGACCCTCAATGAGATGGACTGACACAGTGGTTCCAGCAATGGTCTTAAGCATAACGATTGTGAGAAGGGTGCAGGACCAGGCAGTGTTTTGTTCTGTTGTACGTGGGGTGGCTATGAGTCGGAACCCACTCAACGGTGTCTAACAACTACAAACCTATGAAAGATGCTCAGTATCATTAGTCGTTAGGGAAATGTAAACTTAAACCACAACGAATACCACTTCACACACACAACGATGGCTGTGATAAAAAAGACAGACAGTAACAAGTGTTGGCTAAGCTGTGGAGAGACTGGAACTCTCATACATTGCGGCTGGCAGTGTGAGGTGTCAGAGGGTTTAACTTGTTGCAGACCACACCCAGGAGGTGGCGGAGCCAGCATTCATAACCTAGGTTTATCTGAGTGTAAGTCTGTTTTCTGTCTTGCTGAGCAAAGCTGCCTCCCACGTACTGTGCCGCTTTGTCTTCTGTTTCCTCTTGTGTTTTATGTTGACATTTATTTCAAAGAACTTGGAAACGCCATTTTCAGTCGGCTCTATTCTTTGCCTGAAGCAATGACTGCCTGTCGTCCAATAAAGGGCAGGTGTGACAGTTTTCCTTTTGATTTCAAAGTTGGCATGTTTCTCCCTTTTCTGCGTTATTCTGAAAGATAAGAGGCCATATGTAAGCAGAGGATTACTTTTCACCCTTGGTCTTCTCTGCCGTTTCAGCTCTCAGGTTGGCGCTTGATTGGCGTCTTTTCTCCACTCGTTTATGAGATGAAACTATACTGACCTAAAATGTTGTCTCTGTAATTGATGTTCTTTAAAACTTAATGAGACTTCTAATGCATGTAATTCTCTTTTTTTTTGCTTATTTTTTTTACAGGCTTTGGTTGGAGAGAAGGCTTGTTATCAATCCATCAGTAGCTATGGTGGTCAGATCTTTTATTTGGGGACAAAAGTAAGCTTCCCCTCCGTGACTCTGTATGTGTGTGTGTGCCAGGGTCGTTGGGGCCGAAGGAAGTTTGTTAGTAAAGAGGGCTATGTGTTGTGCAGTGAATATTGATGAGCAGTAATCCAAAACTCTCAGGAGTTAAGTAGTTGTGATTTTTAGCTAATTAATTTCTTCCCCCCACTTTTAGACACATTTTTACTTTTGTTTAGATTCCGACTAATAGGGCGTTTATTTTCTTGATTCAGGAATATGATTTCATAATCTTCCTTCACATTTATGTTTTCGTGACTGGGGAGACACCTTAGCAAGTAATTAAGATGATCTTTAGCATAGATCAGCTTAAAAAAAAAAAAGTTGCTGTCGAGTTGATTCTGACTCGCAATGACCCCGTGTGTATCAGAGTAGAACTGCACTCCCATAGGTTTTCAGTGGCTGTGACCTTTTGGCAGCAGATCGCCAGGCCTTTCTTCTGAGGTCTGTCTGACTGGTCTTGAACCACCAGCCTTTCAGTTAGTAACCCAGCAGTGAACTATTTGCATCACCCAGGCGGCCTTGGATCAGCTTAGGATAGATTAACATGCACTGAGATGTTTTACTTAGAACAGAATTGCTGGAATAGAAACTTTCTGTATTTGCGTCTGCTTGTGCTTTTTTTTTTTTTTTTAACCTAATATGGAGAAATATTTCTTCATTATTAAAATTGAACCAAAATATTAGCAAGTCATTATTGGGGGACGAACTTGGGCTTTCCTTTTCTCCTTGTCCATGCAATCAATTCCTTCTTGAATGGTGGAGTTACTGCTCTTTAAATGTTTCTTTGATTTACTCTTTAATGTGGCCGTTAAAGACCCTTTATAAAATTTTAAGATATACTTCTAACTGTGGGGTGAAAAGTTCTTAGAGAGACTGTAAAAATAGGATGTGGAACTGGGACAAACGTGTCTCCCAAACAAGTCAGTTGAAGATGAACATTTTAATTTCTTCTTGTTTTCCAGTCTGTGTATGTGATGATGCTGAGGAGCTGGAGAGAGGTGAGTTCAAAGTAATCTTCTGTGTTCGAGCTGCTGAGTTGATAGCATCTTAACATTTCTGCTTTGATTTTGCGAAAAAAAGATTATTTGGATTTGCGCTTCTTAATTTCAGAAGTGTACATCAAAACCGTTCTAGCTGATAGGTACTTGATTTGATAAAGCTGACTGACTGTATAAGTTAGAATTAGATTTGACTGCATCTGTCAGAAAATTCAAAATAACAGTGGCTTAAACAAGATATCTGTGTCACATAAAAGCAGTCTGGAAGTAGGCAGTCTGTGGCTAGTTTGAAGGCTCTGTGGTGTTTAGTAAACTATCCTGTTCCACTGTCCTTGTATGTGGATTCTGATTGCAAGGTCATTTTATGGCACAGTATAGCTGCCGGAGCTCCAGCTGTTAAATCCACATTCTAGGAGGGAGGAAAGGGAAAAGGGCCTGCCCCCTCCTGATTGAGGTTACATCCCAGAAATATAAAACACACTTATCGTTGGCCAGAACTTCGTCACAGCGGCCAGGCTGGTTAAAGGGAGTCTTAGAAATGTCCTTTAGCTGGTATAATGTTGTCTCAAATAATCTTGGGATTCGTTACTAAGGAGGAGGGGGTGAATGAATGTTGTAATAAAACACCAAGCCGTTTCTGCTGGCTGTTCCCCCTTTTCATGTCTAAGCCCCATGGCTGCCTACGCTAGCCCTCTATACAGTCTGGTGTTTCAAGAAGTTGTCTTTCTTGGAACTAAGATATTCATGTGTTTGTTAGAATAGTTTTATTATTTAACAACTTCTGGAAAAGTATTAGGCAGAACAGGAGTTCTGACTGGTTGTTGGTCAGATAAAGGAGTCTGGCATCTGTCGTTTGTTCATTTCAGAGAGTGGATCACCTCCTGAAACAAGACTGCCTCACAGAAGCCTTGGCTCTTGCGTGGTCTTTCCACGAAGGAAAAGCAAAAGCCGTAGTGGGTAAGTCAGCAGGACTCCGTGTGGTGGAGCTTGTCTCTGTGGAGTAGAGAGAATGAGTGGTGCTAATCATTCGTAGAACACTTTTAGCTGAGTGTTCAAATATTCTATAAACAGAACCTTGCAGACTTCCAGCAAAGAAGGTTAATGATAAATACTGCGAATAGAACTTAAAATACCACTTAGAATTCTTTAATTTTACAAGGAAAATTCACCATTAGAACCAAAGAGAAGTACATCGATCTGCTATCTGGTCCACTAGATGTGAAGTGGTTTCTGTTACGGCATGTTAGCAAACATTCTGATACCTAAGGCTTGTTATAATTATATCCCTTATTAGCACCAGTTGTGAGGAGAAGACCAGAGCAGTTTCGCCCATGAAGATGTGGGCTGACTTTTGTGTTGTGCTGGATTTTCTTTCTCTGCAGGATTATCCGGGGATGCCAGTAAGCGAAAGGCTGTTGTTGCAGATCGGGTGAGTTTTTTAATAGGGTCTTTTCTAGACCAAAGTACAGGTTTGCCTTTGATGTTTGCTAGTATCTTTGGGCATGGTTAGGTAGGTGGCTACAGTTGAGGAGAGAGTGGATATAACAAAGTCAGGCTATAATTCCCTGCTGTTATCTTGAATGCCTTTTAAATTCCTTCTTATCTATTCTTTTTTCCCCTTGTTCACTATCTTATGATGACAATAAAGTAATAAAATAGCCAAAAGATAGGCCGCAGAAAGGAGGAAAAACCAGGGGTGTGGATAATTTCTGAACTATTTATATCCCATAAATATGTTGACATTTGTTAGTTTTTATAAACTGACTAGTAATTATGAGTAATACTGTACATCCAGATGTTTTTTCCTGCTTGAGATAGCAGAGGGTTAATGCTTTATTATTTAGCATTAATCTGATTAATGATAATATTAGCCTTATTTTCCTACTCTAGACCTGGTCAGATTGATTTATGGTAGTCATCCCTGCTTTTTTTTCTTAACTGTGTAAACACTTTGGTAAAAGTTATATTCCAAATTAGTATCAACATTTAGAAGACAGGAGAAGAGATTGTCCACTGCTTAGACTTGTGCTGATTTCCCCAGAATCTGCCAGAAACAATTGGCTGTCTGTGCTCTTTAGGGACAGGCCTACAGCAGAGAATTGTTGAGGATCTTAACTGTAAGTTTTCTTTTCCTGAACAATATAGTAAGGAGCCCTAGTGGCGCAGTGGTTAAGCGCTCAGCTGCCAACTGAAAGATCAGTGGTTCAAACCCACCAGCCACTCCATGGGAGAAAGACATGGTAGTCTGCTTCCATAAAGATTACAGCCTTGGAAACCCTGTGGGGTGGTTCTGCTTTGTCCTACAGGTTGCTATGAGTCGGCATCGACTCTGGCAAGGGGTTTGGTTTGGTTTGAGCAGTATAGTTACTGTATGTACTATAGTCTAGAACCTGGGAATATGTCTTAGGAAAAATTAGCATATTAGTACTAGCCCTGAGGCTGAAAGAAATTAGGCCAAGGTTTAAAAAAAAAAAAAATTAGGAAAGAAAGCCACAAATAGTTAAATTATATTTTTGATGTAATAACAAAGGCTGATTCTGTGTCCTTTCTTTCGATGGGCCACCACTGTAACATACTAAATACTGAAACATTGTGAGATGTAATTTATTTCTATGCAAAGCTGTTTTCTTCACAGATGGTAGAAGTCCTGTTCCATTGTGCAGACCGAGCTCTGAAGAAGTGTCCAGAACAGGGCAAAATCCAGGTGATGGAGCAGCATTTTCAGGTACCCGTCTGCTGTGCTTCTGGTGATGTCGCTATCGACGGGTCTGACCCAGCTCTTTCATGTCACACGTGACATTCATGTTCGGGTTAAACATTTTTCAGTGAACAGCATTTTGTTTCAGAGCCTATGGCGTCTTCTAAATGATCCAATTTTGGAACCACAAGAGCCCAGTCCCACGGGAACAGAGGAGTCAGGTGTTGTGGAGTGTTGCTCGTACTGCTTAGTGCTACATGGAAGGAAAGGATTTGTGTATGAGGACACGGACCTGTACACTGACTCCATCCAGTGGCTGACCCCTTGCTGATGGCCAGCATCTGTGTTAGCTAGGCTGCCAGCTAACTGGAGGAGAGATGTACTGCCGAGGTTTAAATTTAGTTCTCTCAGGAGCACCTATGACTCAGGAATAGATCAGGTACTAAAATAAGCTAATGGAAGACCTTTAGTCTATCTTGGGACTCAGTCAAAATGGAAGCCAAGGAATGGTTTCAAGACCTGTGCAGGATTATGTGCGTTTTCCATTGTCAGTGATTTCCAGTTCTGTTTGCTGCAGATCTGTTTCTTCCTGCCTATCCCTAGAGTTCCCTCCCTTCTTTGAACAAATATTTGAGTGTCTAATACAGAAGTCAGCAGACTTTTCCTAAAAAGGGCCAAATGGTACAACCCTTTAAAAATATGAAAACCATTCTTAGCTTGTGGGCCACACAGAAGCAGACTGAGGGCAGGACTTGGGCCATAGTTTGTGACCCATGGTCTAATATGTACTAGGCACTGTGTAATAGTGAGTAAAATATACATGGTGCCTGTGATGCGCAGTGGTTAAAGCGCTCGGCTGCTAACCAGAAGGTCAGCGGTTCAAACACACCAGCCGCTCCGTGGGAGAGGGGTGTGGCAGTCGGCTTCCATAAAGATTACAGTCTTGGAAACCCTATAGGGTCGCTGTGAGTCGGAAATGACTCGACGGCAACAGTTTGGTTTTTTTTTTTTTTGGTGTGATCTTAAAGCTTACAGTCTAGTCAAAATAATTTTTTCTTCTGTGGATTAACTGAAATATCAAGAAGAAATCTAGTGGTTTTGAAGTTCTGAAGAGCAGACGCGGGCCATAAGTTTTTTTTTTTTTTTTTTTACTTTTTCCCATACAAAAATTTATAGATACATTGTTATGTGACTCTAATTGCTCCCCCCATACTGTGACAGCACACTCCTCCTTTCCACTCCTGATTCCCATGTCCATTCAACCAGCTCCTAACCCTCTCTGCCTTCCCATCTCACCTCCGGACAGAAGCTGCCCCTTTGTTCTCTTGTATCTACGTGAGCTAAGAGGCACACTCCTCACGGATATCACTTTATGTCCCACAGTCCAGTCCAATCCCTGTCTGAAGAGTTGGCCTCGGAAATTGTTTTAGTTCTGGGCTGATAGAGAATCCAGGGGCTGTGCTTTCTGGGGTTTCTCCAGTCTCAGTCAGACCATTAAATCTGGTCTTTTTACTAGAATTTGAGTTCTGCACCCCGCCTTTCTTCTGCTTCATCCGGAACTCTCTGTTGTGTTCCCTGTCAGGGCGGTCATTGGTGGTAGCCAGGTACCATCTAGTTCTTCTGGTCTCAGGCTGATGAAGTCTTGGCTTATGTGGCCCTTTCTGTCTCTTGGGCTAATACTTTCCTTGTGTCTTTAGTGTTCTTCATTCTCCTTTACTCCAGGTGGTTGGGACCAATCAAAGTATCTTAGATGGCGGCTTGCAAGCTTTTAAGACTCGACTCTACTCACCAAAGTAGGATGCAGAACACTCTTTTAATAAGCTTTGTTATGCCAGTTGACCTAGATGTCCCCTGAAAGCATGGTCCCCCATGCTACTCTGTCCCCCAAAGTGTTTGACTGTATTCAGGAAACTTCTTAGTTTTGGTTTAGTCACGGGCTGTAACTTTTGTTGTATCTCCATTTGAGGCCTGTAACTGTGGAAGACAAGGGTAGACATGGCAAGGGACATCTGGGTGGTATCAGAGGAGGATTTGGTTTCCTGAACTGTACTCTTTAATGCCACAGTACTGAGCTCTGGCCGAGTGACTTGTTACTCTGTTTGGATGGAAGCTCATTAAGTTTATCAATAGAAAAAGAGAAATAAGCCCAGATAAAATTATAAAAATCGGTAACTTTGGAGGAAAACGTATAGCAGAAAGAAAGCATTTGGGAAGAAAACCATGTATACAGGTATCTTTGTATGCCAATACTCAGAGTACAGATACAAAGGAAGTGTCCTGTTTTAACACGAGGACACCTATCACCAGTAGATGCCGCAGTGGCGCTCAAGACAGAGCTCTCGCCATTGGAGGGTCTACTGTGTTGAACAGAGTCATCTAATAGGGAAGGCTGGGAGGGGCTGAGGGTGTGGTGTAATCTAGAGACCACTGTGCTAGGAGAAACGTGGAGAGAGCTCTTGGGGTTATTTATGAAAGAAGAAAGGAACAAAAGTGATGTGCTTTTTTGTTTTTTGTTTTTTTAAATTGTACTTTAGATGAAGGTTTACAGAGCAAGTTAGTTTCTCATTGAACAATTAGTACACATCTTGTTTTGTGACATTGGTTTCCAACCCCACGACATGTTAGCACTCTCCCCTTCTCAACCTTGGGTTCCCCATTACCAGCTTTCCTGTCCCCTCCTGCCTTCTCGTCCTTGCCCCTGAGCTGGTGTGCCCATTTAGTCTTGTTTTGTTTTATGGGCCTGTCTAATCTTTGGCTGGAGGGTGAACCTCAGGAGTGACTTCAGTACTGAGCTAAAAGGATGTCCGGGAGCCATACTCTTGGGGTTTCTCCAGTCTCTGTCAGACCAATAAGTCCTGTCTTTTTTTGTGAGTTAGAACTTTGTTCTACATTTTTATCCAGCTCTGTCCTGGACCCTCTACTGTGATCCCTGTCAGAGCAGTTGGTGGTGGTAGCCAGGCACCATCTAGCTGTGCTGGACCAAAAGTAATGTTCTGTTGGAGAAATACTAAAGAAGCTCAGCAGACAGGAACTCTAGATCCTGGTGTCTAATAGCGATTACAGAACTTACAGAGGAACTGTAGTAATCATGTGCTTTTAACCATCTGGGTATCTGTTGGACATCTCATTCTGCTAAAAAGAGCATCTGATAAAAAATTTTATTTGATTTATTAATGATTTAGTATTATAGGAGGTAAAGGAAATAATGGTGGGAACCATTATTTTATTTATTTATTTACCAATAATTGGGAAATAGAAGGGACAGACTCTTAAGAGAAACATTTTTTTATTTTTTTGTTGTACTTCAGATGAAGGTTTACAGAACAAATACTTTCTCATTAAACAGTCAGTACACATATTGTTTTATGACATTGGTTAACAACCCCGTGACATATCAACACACTCCCTTCTAGGCCTTGGAGGATCTTTTTTTTTTGGTGACAATATACATAGCCAAAGATACACCATTTCAAAAATGTCTATATGTACAATTCAGTGACGTCGATTACATTCTTCCAGTTGTGCTGCTATTCTCACTTTAGATGAAGGCTTACAGAACAAAATAGTTTCTTAAGAGAAACATTTTGAAGATTATAATAATGATGAAAAATACACTGAGTGTGAATCCAGTATTTTAGAAAGCAATTTTTTTCAGAAAAAAATATAAGCACAATCTAATGACCACAGACTTCCCCCACCAGAAAAAAAAAAAGATGTGCTCACAAAGAATAGGAAATTCTCAAATTTTGACATAATAACCACAGACAAGGAGATAGGAAAGGTAGAGGAACATTGAGAAAAGTATCTGTCTACAAAGCAAAGAACAAAAGATGAAGAGAGGCCTGTAACCAAAGATATATGCCCTAAGCACCATGAACCTGTAAGACTGTCAGAAAGGAGAGTGGTGCAAGTCCAGGTTATGCCTACCAAAATAACAAGGGGACAAAAAAAGAAAAAAGGGGATTTTATCAAAGATACACCGAGCGTGTACTGTGTGCCAGGTACAATGCAAAGTACTTGACGTTCATTTTATTTAATTCTCACGACCACCATGTGAAACAGATACCATTTTTATCCCCATTTTATAGATGAGGAAACTGAGGCTTAGAGAGCCTAAGTAACTTTCCGAGGTAACATTGCTGGCAAGTGTTGGAGCCAGATGTCAAATACAGGTCTTTCTGATTCCAAAGCCCGTGTCTTAACCATTGTGCTGTACCTTTACTGTCAGAGTGAGGGCAGGAAGGGGCTGGGCAAGAGGGGAGATGCTCAGAGATGACCAAGAGGAATAATCATACCAAACACCTGGACAGTGAAATGCTTCCTACGTGGCAGGCACTGTTAACGCTTTACACCTGGCACCTCACTGAATTCTTGTCACAACCCTTAGGTAGGTACTATTATGATTTGCATTTATAAATGAGACTGAGGCACAGAGAGGATAAATAACTTGTTCCAGGGGCACATGGCTTCCACTTCATCAGCACAGAGAATGGTCTTTAAAATGGAGAAGTCCAGGTTAAAATAAAAAAACCATTGCCATTGTGTTGATTCCAGCTCATAGCGACCCTATAGGGCAGAGCAGCAGTGCCCCATAGGGTTTCCAAGGAGTGGCTGGTGGATTCCAACAGCTGACCTTTTGGTGAGCAGCCACCAGGGCTCCCCAGATTAATATATTAAAGAAAAAAGCTGAAGCCCAGCATATGTGACATATAGTTGCTTTGTAACGGTTCAGACCTAGTGGAATTACAACCCAGGATGTTGTTGGAACTTGAAAACAATCTGATTAATAATTTGTGAGAAACTTTGGATCAATTTTTCAGTAAGGCATACTTGATTAAGCATGGATGCTTAGGCAGGAGAGACATAATTTACTTCACGCAGGAGGACAGTTTTCTCTGGAGAAGGTGGAGAAGGCCCATTAATATGAGTGAAATGTGTGCGCACTTGGCCACAAATCTGCTGCTTTAAGTGATATCATAAAATAATTAAGTTGGCTCTTAAAGTGTGCTTTTTTTTTAAAAAAAAAA